TAGTAAATACCTTAAAATCTAGGCCAATAAGGCTTTCTACAATTAATAGCAGAATAAGGTATATATCTGCATAAAAAATGAATATTTAATAAAAATATCTTAATCCTTTAATCAGCCAAAAGTTTAAAGACTAATGAGTATTTTATTAGTTTACTTCTCTTAAAAATTGCCCAAAACAGTAGGTCTTACAAGACAGCAGGATATATTACAGGTTGAACTTGTACACATGTTTTCAGTTGTAGGGTAATTATGACCTTACTTAAGAATTAAAAAATAACAATATTGGGACAAATTACTGAAACAAATTATTGCAAAGTATTACTTGAAACAAATTATTGTGAAATAGTACTGGAATAGATAACTAGAATATTTTATTGGTTAATAAAAACATTAAAAATCTATTAAAACTACCTTGTCTCACTGATTTTTCACTAAATGATGATATTCCAGTATCATCTTCAGGACCTAACATAGGTCCTTGATCTCCAATGTCATTTGCCCATCCATATTGCTGTGGAGGTGGCGCCATTGGCTGAGGTTGAGCACCATATACAAACTGTGATGTGTATGGTGGAGGCTTATTTGCTTCCAAATCAGGAGGAACTTGCTGGTAATTATAAGTATATTGATTTGACATTCTAAAAAATAAATAGCCCTTCCTGAATATCAAGATTAAAAAAGTAAAAATAATAAATAACATAAAAGAAATAAAAGTTTTATTTTTTTTAAATAAATTACGTAAAAGTTTTATTTTTTGTTAAAAATAAAACTTTTAATAAAAAAATAAAAAAACTTTCTAATCTATTAGTTGTTATTTAAAAATATAGATTTAAAATCTAGTTTTAAAGAACATCTACCACTGCAAAACAAAATTGTTTTTTTTTTTATTATTATTCTCGATAAAATTAGAGATTAATTTTTTAATAATATAGCACAGCCCTAAAAATCCAAAGGATTTAAGTTTGGCAATAAGAGCTGAATTTAGCTGACTGCAGACCGCCAAAGTTTTATGCAATGATAGTTAAAATAGCATTGTCAAAATCCTTGAACTTGACAATGGCATTATATAATCCATTCATTTATTGTTCATGACAACAATTTGTCATAAATATAAAATTAGTTTCATTTTTTAGACTATTAAAATTCATCAAAAAAACCTGTTCCATCATTCAATACAAAATAATTTTAAATAAAAAATAAACTAATAAAAAATACATATACACTTAAAATTTATATATATATATATATATATATATATATATATATATATATATATATATATATATATATATATATATATATATATATATATATGTATATATATATGTATATATATATATATATATATATATATATATATATATATATATATGTATATATATATATATATATATATATATATGTATATATATATATATATATGTATATATATATATATATATATATATATACATATATATATATATATATATATATATATATATATATATATATATATATATATATATATATATGTATATATATATAAATATATATATATATATATGTATATATATATATATATAAATATATATATATATATATATATATATGTATATATATATATAAATATATATATATACATATATATATATATATATATATATATATATATATATGTATATATATATATATACATGTATATATATATATATATATATATATATATATATATATATATATATATATATATATATATATATATAGGGCCTCGACGGAAAGCAAAAGCTTCAGCTCTCGCTCTTGCCCACACTCCCCTAAAATGGTTTATGAGAGCTATTTACGGCTCTCGCAGAAGTATAATTTTTCTCATACAAGTATAATTATCATTTTAAATAAAAAAAACAACACAATGTCATTTAGAAAAAATTAATTGCATAATATACTGAAATGCTTTTTAAAAGGCACGGTTGTTGCAAAAAAAATTAGAATTAAAAAAGCTGTTTTAAATGAGGAGCAGCTCGCACAGCTCCCCAAGTTCGTTTTAGGAGAGCTTTTCTCTGCTCTCGTTTTCATTTATTCCCGCTGAGTCCTGATATATATATATATATATATATATATATATATATATATATATATATATATATATATATATATATATATATATATATATATACATATATGTATATAGTATCGGACAAAGCAAGTGCAACCAAATAATGCTAATTTAGTTTCTTTATATAAAAGTGATGCATTTTTTCAATTTAGAGAAAAAGCTATGTAACTGTTTAGAGACAACATTCTTCAAGTTTTATTCATCACAAAGTTCATTATTTGTACACGGAAATTAATAAATTAATCAAAAGTATTAAAAAAAGTTGATTTCCTTCTGGACAAAAAAAATTCAACTCTAGAAAATGTTGACCAAGCTGTATTTCGCTATCAATATTTCATGGCGAATCCTTTGTTGTCGATCACAGCCTTGCACCTCGAGGCATAGATTCGATCAGGTGATCAATGAAACTTTGTGGAATCGCTGCCAAGGTCTTTTGGATTTGTTCAAACAGTTGATCCTTATTACGAACACCTTCACAATGAATTCTGCGGTTGAAGATCTCCCACAGGTTCTCGATAAGGTTGAGATCCGGAGATTGAGGAGGCAAATCCATCACCGATAGGTGGTTATCTTGAAACCACTGCTTGACTAATTTTGCAGTGTGTTTCAGATTGTTGTCTTGCTAAAAAACCCATTTTATTGGCATATTCCATTCAACATGAGGTAACATAACATCTTTTAGGATATTTTTATACATGAAACGGTCCATTATTCCATCAATTCAATGTATTGGACCTAGACCGTTAGCAGAAAAACACCCCCAGACCATTACATTGCCGCCACCATACTTCACGGTCTTATGGCAATAACGTAAATCAAGGCGTTTTCCGGCCCGTCGACATACACGGCAAATGCCATCGCTCCCAATGATGTTGAACTTCGATTCATCACGGAACAGGACAGTTTGAGAAAACAATCCGGCTTCAACAGCATATCGTCTGATTGTTCGGTCTGATACATGCAGCTCTAACTGCTTTTGTATCTCGACTGATGATATCCAGGGATCCTTCTTGACGGATCTGACGATCATAGAATTCTCTCTAGAAGTGGTGGAATGCGGTCTTCCACCTTAGTTATCTGCTTCCAACTTCCCCATAGAACGATATTTGGAACATAATCTTGATAGGGTCCATTTTTTCAAGCGATATATCACAAATACTTTTTTGTGACATTCCACTTACAAATTCGCCAATAATTTTCTTTCTTAGTTCCAATCCAAGACTGTCAGGAGCCATTTTTGCAATTGAAGTCATAAAAATAATCACGCTTCTCAAGGCTTACCGTGATACATTTACCTTGTGATGATACAATAATGCTCTGTGTAACACAACGTCTTATTTGGATGTGGACTGTATTGATGTAATGAAACACTTGTTGTATTTCACTTCTTGTATTGATGTTCTTTGATAAAACACTTTGATAAAACTCACTTCAATAAACTGTCTTGATAATACTGACTGATTGACTTCCATATACTGACTGAATTACATGTCGGTTTGCAAGCCTCTTTTATAGTAAAATGAACCTGTGTGAACTGTTCTGGAAGATTTGAGATGCTTCTTTTCGATGCTTCTGGAAGCTTCTGAATGCTTCTGAATGTTTCTGGATACTTCTGGATGCTTCCAGATGCTTCTTCTGGAAACTTCTGCATACTTCTGGAAACTTCTGGATACTTCTTTTAACTATTAGAAAACTTCTGTGACGTTGACATGGACCAGACTTAAGAAAATGAAACAAACCAAAAAAGTTGCACTTGTTTTGTCCGCTGCAAAATGGCACTTGTCAACGAAATTCTGCCTGTGTGCTATCACCTGTCAGCTGATTGCTTATGTCATGGCATGCTATGACTCCAGACTCCTAAATTGTTGTAATAGTATAAATCGTTTCGTTTTTAAGACATGTAAAATTAGGAACACTCTTTAGCATTGTTCGATGTTGGTTGCAAATGTGTTGTCCAATATTGTATATATATATATATATATATATATATATATATATATATATATATATATATATATATATATATATATATATATATATATATATATATATATATATATAGGGCTTATTCTAGGAAAAAAATTTGGGTGGCGGTACCACCTCATTTCAATAGACTTTAGTGGTAAATCAGCATTTTTTTCGCGAAAAAAACAATATTTGGCGTAAAAACGTAAAAAAAAACAATAAAAAAAAGGCCATTTTTTTTTTTTAATTTTGATTTGGGTGGCCTTCAAATACAGTCAACACTGTCGGTCACTGAAAACAGTCTAGAATAGCCCCTAATATATATATATATATATATATATATATATATATATATATATATATATATATATATATATATATATATATATATAATATATATATATATATATATATATATATATATATATATATATATATATATATATATATATATATATATATATATATATATATATATATATATATATATTAGAGTGCCTCTAAAAACAACATTTTTTTAAATTGTCTGCTGCCACCCCCTATATGTGTTCTATGTAATAAATTAACACTAAATTAAAAAAAAATTTGAATTAAAAAAATTTTAGGGGTCGTTCAAGACCCTTAAACACTTAAAGTATATCATATTGGGTCTCAAAAGAAGAGAAATTTTATAAAAATTTCAAAAATAATAAAAACAATTAATAGAAACACAAATTAAAAAAGTTTATTTAAAAAAAAATTTTGAAATTATGTACTTTTTATTTTTTCTTAAAAAAAAGATAGTTTTCAAGCCATAAAATTCAAAAATGTAATCTTTATATAAAATGATTATTATTTTTGTGTGTGTATATATATATATATATATATATATATATATATATATATACACACACAAAAATTTAATATAAAATCAAAATACCCCATTAAGTTTAATGAAAATCATCGCGTAAAAGAGCTTAATATCTCCTAGATCCGTTTTTAAAATAAATTTTGTGTTGCATAATTTATGGACGATTCCTAAAGCTAAGATGAGTCAATTTTACATATTAGTTATAATATTTATTAGTTTATAATATTTATAATAGTTATAATATTTATAATTAACGACATAATAAAAAACTAGAAAAAGTGTTTGTTTGTTTTTGTCATGTCATTAGATATTTATCTAAACAGATTTTGTTTTTAAATTCAATTTGAACTTTATTTTTGTCATTGTTGGAGATATAAGTTGTTTTTTGGTTTTTATTAATTTTCAAAAAAAAATTTGAAAAGAATAAAACTTAATTATTTTTTTATAAAAAAAAACACAAAATCATTAAGAATTTGAGAGAAAAATAACCTGTCAAACAAAAATGACACCTAATGACACAAATCTAACAATAATATAATAATACATAATATTAAATACATTATAATAATATAACAAATATTGTGTGAGAAAAAAAGAAGAAATTTTAAAAAGAATATTAAAAATAACAATCAATATTAAAATAAGTAAATTGCACATCACACTTAAAAAGTTTTTACATCTTTTAACTAAAAATCTTTTAACTAAAAATTACACTTGACAGATGTAAAGAAAGTAAAAGAACTAAAGCCTACAATTTTATCAGAAAATGTATAAAAAAATAACAACAAATCATAAATAACAAAACATAAGTAACCAGAAAACAAAAAAAAACTGTTTAAAATTTTCACGAGATGATTAACATCATTATTAGTTAAATTAAAATTCAATAAAATTTGTTTATTCATTTAAATTGTAACTTATTTTCTTTTTTATTTCATCAGAATTTTCTTTTTCTTATATTTTATTAAAAACTTGTTCTTTTTTCTTTATTTTATTTCATTTTACTTTTACTTCCTCTATTTTTTTTTTTTTTTTTTTTTTTTTTAAATTTTCTTTAGTTATTTAAATTTTCATTATTTTCTGTTTATTTTTTATTTTATTTATTTATTTTATTGATTTATTTAGCAACTTAATGCTAGTTTAGTAACTACAAAATAAATGAATTTTTCGTAGTCCAATTAGACAAATTCGCAAGCTATTTCCTGGTATAGTTACAAACCAAACACAAACAATGACTTCTGCCCTGCTCTATTGTATTGGCTGCTTTTATGAAAATAACTAATGTAATGTTCATGTAACTCGCTATTTTTTGAATAGAATGGTTTAACTATATTATTTTCAGTTGATGTAACATTGTGAATGAAACAGAGTGATTTAAAAATTATTCTATTTTTTACACTAATCCAACCAACCAATTTCAACATTTCTGTTTTATGAGTTAACCAGTGGCATTTTAATATAATTCTCATTGCTTTATTTTGAAGTTTTTCTAGGATATTTAAGTTAATTGTGTTGACATCAAGAAAAATAGAAGCACAGTATTCATAGTGGGGAGAAATTATAGTTTGAAAGATTATCTTTTTGGTCCGTTGAATTAAGTATTTGCTTATTTTACCAAGATATCCAGTTTTCTTTGCAATTTTATTTGAGATATATTTGATATGTTCAGTAAAATTAAGTTGGTAATCAATAATAATCCCTAGATATTTCACGCTATCACTAAACTCAATGACTACATCATCCAATATCACTTTTATGTTATTTTTATGATTTATTAAACTTTTTTTTTTTTTTTTTTGAATTAACAATAAGCATTGCCATGGACTTAAGAGTATTTAATTTAAGTTTGTTATTACTTAGCCATTTACGAAGTATTTTTAAGTCTTGATTTAATTTAAAAATAGTTTCTTTGAAGTTTGTACCCTCAGTACAAACCAATGTATTATCAGCAAACAGTTTTATAAAAGAATACTCAAGTTTTGATGCAATATCAATTATGTAAATAATAAACAAAAGAGGTCCAAGTACACTACCCTGTGGAACCCCTATATCAAAAACTAGTTTACCATATTCATCACCTTTTATTTTGACTACTTGAGTTCTCATTGAAAGATAGTCTGCAATCCAATTAAGAACTGTACCTTTAACTTAATAACCTTGTAACTTTTGTATAAGAATCTTTCTATTAAATGTTTCAAATGCCCTATTAAGATCTAGCATTACTGTTATAACAAATTTATTGTTATTTAAAGAGTTATTCTCTATTTAGAAAGCAGTAGTTGAATAGCTGATTCAGTTGATCTATTTTTTTTGAAACCAAATTGATTATTATAAAAAATACAATTACTTTCAAAATAACTTGACAACTGCTTGTGAACAGCAATTTCTAATATTTTTTTATAAGTAGGAAGCATATTAATGTTGTTTTACATTTGCCATTTGCAAAGTTATTATGAAGACACCCCTCAATACACAATTTATATATACTAGTCCTATTTAAGGTCTTTTTTGAATATTAGGCTGTATGCATTTTGATAAAAAATAAAAAAGTTATAACATTTTAAATTATAAAAAAACTCAAAACTTAGTCACATTTTCTTCAAAAAAATCTATATATCAAAAATTTTGTACTTAAAATGTCATAACGTTTTGTAAATACAAACAATTTTGATAAATAATTATAAATAAAATACTATAATGAATTTTTTTCTAATAAAATGTAACGATCAAGTACTTGATCATTGAAAAAATTTTATATCACATACTTATTTTTAAACGAACTCTAGTTTTAAAACAAATTTAAAGAAAACTATATTAAAATAATGATAATAGTATAATACAATAGTAAATTAATAGTTATTTAAAAAAGAAATTTATTAATAAAATAGTTATAAATAAAATAATTATTAATAAAATACTTTATAATAATATTATTATTTACAATAGTAAATTAATAGTTATTTAAAAAAGAAATTTATTAATAAAATAATTATAAATAAAATAATTATAAATAAAATAATTATAAATAAAATATTATAAATAAAATAATTATAAATAAAATAATTATAAATAAAATAATTATAAATAAAATACTATAATGAATTTTTTTCTAATAAAATGTAACAATCAAGTACTTATTTTTAAACGAACTCTAGTTTTAAAACAAATTTAAAGAAAACTATATTAAAATAATGATAATAGTATAATACAATAGTAAATTAATAGTTATTTAAAAAAGAAATTTATTAATAAAATAATTATAAATAAAATAATTATAAATAAAATAATTATAAATAAAATAATTATAAATAAAATAATTATAAATAAAATACTTTATAATAATATTAATATTTACAATAGTAAATTAATAGTTATTTAAAAAAGAAATTTATTAATAAAATAATTATAAATAAAATAATTATAAATAAAATATTATAAATAAAATAATTATAAATAAAATAATTATAAATAAAATAATTATAAATAAAATACTATAATGAATTTTTTTCTAATAAAATGTAACGATCAAGTACTTGATCATTGAAAAAATTTTATATCACATACTTATTTTTAAACGAACTCTAGTTTTAACTATATTAAAATAATGATAATAGTATAATACAATAGTAAATTAATAGTTATTTAAAAAAGAAATTTATTAATAAAATTTAAAACCGTTTAATGTTAACAATAATCAGTAGTTTTTATCTATTTGCACTAAAAATATCTTAGTAATACTTCCGAATAATTTTTTGTTATTACTTAATAATAAACTACTATAAACCATTTATATAAAATATAATCTTACTAAAAATTAATTGCTAAATCTCAAAAAATTTGATGTTAATGTTTGAGACATATTGCTTTTTAAATTTAATTAGGGTTAATGATTTCGTTAAGAAAAAAGTAATTTTAAATAAAAAAAACAACAACTCACGTAACTTTCTTTTTGTAACTGTGTAATTAAACACCAAATCTTGTTTATATGTTTTATCGCAAACGACGACGCAAGCATTACGTTTTTACGCATTAGCATTACGCACAAAACAATCTATTACTAAAAACATACTAAAACTTTCTATAAATAATAAAATTGCAATTTAGTAATTTGCAAAGTTTTCAAAGATTATGAGCATTATCAAAAGAAACCGTTTCGAAATTTAAAAAAATCATCAAAACGTTGTTCATAAAATCTAGCTAGCACTTTTTTTTAACAGTTATAGAAAGAAAAACATATGCAAACATCACAATTGTAGTTGTTGATTACAGCATTCAATTGTATTGATGACATTGTTAGTTAGGACATTTTTTTTTAATTTTTTTGTGCCTAGCCATTACATTTGCTTGTATCAGAGTTAATAATGCCGCCTGGCGGCAAAGTAACTTTCTACCGAAAGGCCGACTTTTTAAGGAGGCGGAAGCTGTTGACGGCGGCCTCCCGATCAATTTTTAGCGGCAAAATATTCTTTTTTTAGAGGCCATTTAGAGGCCGCCTCAAATGGCTTCTGCCTCCTAACTGGCTGCGGCCGTCAAATTGGAGGCGGAAATATTTGCGTCTCACCGGCGGATGTAATGAAAAATAATTGCTCGTTTGCTTTAAAGCAATTAAATATTAACAAGAAACAAATGTTAAATACTTGTTGTAATAAATAAACTTGTTGTAATAAATAAATAAATAAATGTTAAATAAATTAACTTTATTAATCTTTAATAATGTTAAAAGATGTTGTGTTTTTCAAATATTTTTACAATATATAATGACTAGAATTAATAATTTAATGTTATGGTCGAAAAATTAAAGTTTTAGCGTGACGTAAGGGCAACAAAATATCAAACGATGAAAAACTTTAATTATTTGTCATAATTTTTTTTTTTTTGCTTAAGGCATGTAAACAAAATTTTTAATTTTTAATATTTGTTTAGAAACAAAAATTACTAATTTATTCGATAATAGTAGATAAACAACCGCTCTGACAAAGTTATAATTTTAAATTTTTTTTTTTTTTAAATAGTCAATAAATAATATAAAACAAAACTTTGATGTCAAGTATTTAACATTTGTTTTTAGTTAATATTTAATTGCCTTAAAG